GCAGAATATTGCGAACAGGTACAAAATGTAAGAACCATTCTGGAGCCCATTTGATTATAGGGTTCGAAAAACCGTGAGCCTCCTACGATGCTAAAGAATCTTTTACTTATTGATTGTCCATCCTTGTACGAAGACGTCGCGAATATAACAACAAAAACAAGATGCCGAAAAGCAAAAAAGCAGCGCGACTACAAAGCAACACATGATATCAGCCACACCATCCTTCCATACTAATTATTGATGGATGACATGTCAAAAGCGTGTAAACACGTCTGACCGAACTCATTGGACATTAAATCAGATTCAGTCCCAATAAACAGAATTAATAGGTAGGTATTTAGAGATTCTGCGGTTTGCATAATCACTTCAGACTGCAAGTATCCACAAAGTCATGTGCAAAATTAAGTGCAAGTTTAGGAACAGAAAATAAAATGGACTTTTGAACGCAACCAAAATACCCTAACTGATTATGTAAATGTCTAAATCATGCATACTGATATGTACTGATAATGACTCTGAACTCCGATAAACATATATACTTAAAAACGCATCCCCATACTGCATTTGTCGGTGAGAGCTTTAGACGGGATATATGGTTCAGCGCCAATTTCATGACAACTTCGAGTCATGTTGGCGGATGAAGTCGTCAATATGTCTAAGCAATCGTTCTACCTTAACATCTCTCAGAACCGAAAAAATCGGTAACTGATAGTTCGATATTCATCACAATACTGCTGGTCAAATGCGAAGCCGAGAAAAGTAAACAGTACTCCATAATGTCAGAACAGTTACTTACCCGATACCCTAAAATGCTTAATCAAGGACTTGCGCAAACAAGTTAACGTCTGCTGTGACGACGATGACCACTATCACTCATCTGCTACCTTTATCCTACTAACAACTACAGTCAAATCTTCACTCTTCCTGACGAGATACGCATATATATTGTTGAGAGATGTCATCCTCGATGCCTTGTTACAATATATAAATATATCTTTCTTTACTTACTTCGTCCTGTCTTTATGCCACATCTTCACCTTCTCAATCATCTTAAGAACTACGGAATGTTCCTTCCTCACTGTATACTCGTCATGCAAAAAATCACTTCTCTAATTTCTTGTGGCGAAACGGCTCTGGCTATGGCTTGGTGCAGTCTTCCTACAAATAGCCTTATGCATTCAGTTCCTCTTATGATATGTTCTATGCATGTCACTGTTTCTGTTTCTTGGCTGTCAATTTTTGTTTACACATTTGACTTTAAGACATCTGTGTATTCATGGTTTAGTACACTAAAATGCGCATCGT